AAATCCCATGTGATTGTTTTTCAGCTAGTCTTTTAGAAAGATTTGACATTTTTTAGTGTTGTAATCATGATTTGTCATGCAATGGCCCACAGCCAGAAAAAAACAACCTAGTAACTATATTTGATGTAACTTTCTTTTGCAAATAATAAAAGACAATGCTGTGTCATTTATAGACGCCACTCGACTATGTTTGTCCTTTGATCTGAACTCTTTTTAAAGGTGGAGTGATTTCTTCTTTTCTGTAAGTGTTTACATAAGGTGGACTCCACTAATATTGAATAGCTTTCATTTCAAAAACACTGTGATGCAGAACATCTAATTTTACAACAGTTGAATCACATCATCACAACGTTCCGGTGATTATTCTTAATACAAGAAATTAATAGGCAGGCTTGTTGTTGTTCATAAATCATAATTAGTTTTTCATAGTTCATAAATGATTAAACACATTAGGGTGGAGTAACTACTTGGTACAATCTGTTTACATGTTAATTATGTAATATACATAAAAAAACAATCAGTCTGAAAGCTGTCATTGTCAAACGTTGTCCATACAGTATAATGACATTTTTTTTCCCTTGCCAGGTGACCATCCTCAACTCCAAGAAGAACATGAACATTGGTATCTTCCTCAAGCAGTTCAAAAGGTGAGTGTATCATGAAAGAGTATTTAGAAAAGCTCTTCAATTCGTCAGCAGATGCTAGGGTGGAAACGCACAGTAGTCATATGATAGATTGCTCACATGTCTCTGCAAGCCAAATGAATTTTTTTCTGACAACATCAGACACCTTTTCTACCAGAGTACAAGCATGAAGATAAGATGGGGTTTGCATTATTTACATCATCAGTGGTTCCCTTAATAATGCAGTGTTTCTCCTCAGATATTGATCAGTTGATTGTGACAGTTTAACTTTGACTTGTTAATGAATACATCAATTTTTTAGTGCTAGAGCTTGTGATACCAGTTTGGTGTGCTTGTGTATCTCTAAAAAAAAGCAAGATTGGGCTTGTCTAGTCCCGGTATTTTTTTAGTCAGAACAAGGTGAAGTATGACTCAGTGTGGAAGTCCATATGTTGGCCACTTCCTCTATACCGTTCTTACGGATGTGTTATTTGTCATTTTTGAGTTTTACAATGTTATCAGGCTATTTAAAGATGAAGTGTGTCTGTTCCACTAGCAGTGAAAGTATGAATTGATTTCATACAAGTTGCTCAGACATTCCCAACAGCTGCCATTGGTTGGACAAACAGGTAGTCCCGCCCCCAAACACATGCCATTGGTTAAGTCACTTTTGCTGTGTTGGGCCGTTCAAACAAATGGAGCAACGTTGACACGACATATAATAGCAGTGTTTACACTACTGGAAAATTAACCTTCAAATATCTTTGTTGTCACTGCACATTAAACTGGAATAGGAGAGAGTATTTTAAGAATTGTATTTTAAAATAAAATGATAATGTTTTATGCAGCTATTTCATTTGAATTACAAGCCTGAAAAAAAAAAAAATGTATGATGCATACAATTCCATTTTATTTTATTTCATAAGTAAGACTGGGGTTTTATATAGTGATATTAGGAGGGATCCAATTCCATTTAATCTCTGGAAAATCTGAGATTTTGTAACTCTTGAGATAGTCTGTGGAGGTCTTGATCTGTAATTCTACCACATCTTTCTCCATAGGTCAGTGAGTGGAATGATTGATGACATTATCAACTGTAGAGGAGAAAGATTTGGTACTGGGAAACTGAAGGAGTTGTGCAAACTACTGCCAGAGGATGGAGAGGTGGGTGTAATATATGGATCTGGGCCTTAGTTACACTTGTTGAGCAATTCCAAGGTTTTGATAGTGTGCCAATGGCATTTGAATAAACGTTTGTGTTTTATGCAGCACTTTCATTTGAATTTCAAAATGAACTTTCATTTGGTTTGAACTAAAATCTTACTGTTATGTATTGTGTTTCTTCATTTCATTAGGTGCGTCAGCTTCTTGATTTTAAAGGAGACTATTCAACTCTCTCCGAGGCAGATCGGTTCATGGTACAACTTGTCAAAGTTCCTTGGTGGGTGTATACAGCCACACAAAGACAAACACACACTTACACAACTGTACACAGAGCGCCTTCGATACAAAGTAATTTGCACAGTACTGTTCATATTTTATCTCCATTGCCAGGCATTGATTATCAAAACAAGACATTGGATTTGCAGGTCACTGAAAATTACTCTAAATGTAAGTGAACTTTATGAGTTTATTTCTTTGTTTGTTCTTCCTC